ATGACTTGGAATCACTGCGGCACCGCACCCACCGCACCGCAACGGTAAGACCGGAGTCGGTGTGAGCCTGGGGTCCGAGAGCTGCATGGAGCTGCAGGTTACAGACCTGACTCTGGCCTAGTCAAAGTCCAGAGGTAAACCTAGTGACTGATCAGCTCTCTCTGCTGGAGCATCTTTCATTTCACCGTCTCCCCACCTTCCAGCGATCTGCTGTAGAACATCTTACTGCTGTCAGGGCGCATTGGTGCCCCCTGTTGGACTTAAATGGCTCGTTTCCATGGTGACCGTTTGTTTGTTGGAGTGACATGTCCTCTGATGGTCTTCAGTGTTAGGGGAGGTTGAAATCCTTTCCTGGTTGTGAGTTGGGACAGATGAACCTCTGATCTGTCGGCCCAAACAGGAAGTCTGTGTGCTGCTCACATGTTCTCCTCTGCTCAGGCGGTTCTGATCCGTTGTCTGCCCCTCTTCTGCTACAGTGGCCCCGAGGCTGTCCAGGAGGTCTGGTGAGATCCCGCCCCCTCGCACCACCCCTACCCCTCCCCTCCTAATGCAGCCCCACCCCCCCTCCCCTCACCTGGTGTGTTTCTGTTCATTGGTGCTGATCAGTAGCTCCGCAGGGACCCGCTGAGTGTTCTGATTGGCTGAACTAACGCATGGTGTGGTCAACAGGCCAGCTGTGATTGGTCGAAGGCTGACAGTTGAGTTCATGACAGACACTGATTTGCTCGGTCTGCAGTCTGCCTCAGCCTCAACCCACCATAGCACCCTGGCGGCATGCTGCCCCCACGCTTACCCCCGCCCCCCCTTCACCCCTCACCCCCAGCATGACATCAGAGCTGCTCCGCTCACTGGGTTCTCAGCGTTAGTTTCATTTTGCTGGGGTTCAGTAGAGGAGGGAAGGAGTGCAGCACTGTGTGAGTGTTAGCGTGTTAGCATGGCCTTCCATCTGAATGTGAGCATGGCGACCAGACTGTGGACTTCTGTCTTATTTTATCACCAGAGAGACACCACTTTCACTAGAGACACACGGATCACGTCTTTGAGACCAACGTCCGGTTTGTGTCAATGTCTGAATCGTAGAGTTTAACCCGTTTCCCTTTAGAGAAATCTAAAAGTAGAGGTCAGAAGAACATTTCTGAACCTTTTTCCTGACGACTGTCTCACTATTTACAGAAGGAGCTCAGGTAAGATGGCTCTGAGAGCTGAAAACAGGGAAACAGAGGGCTTTAAGGTGGACGATTTAAATGGTTTCAGCCTCTATAATGAGAAAAAGCAGGAAGCTGCAGTCAGGGCTGGAAGTATCTTCTGGATGGCGCTTTTTTTCCAGGACTTTTCCATGTTTTTCTCCCAGTTTCTTCCATTTGTTCGCTGTAGATACCAGATCTGCTCGGGGCCCCGCCCCTTCTTATGACATCAACATATGGCAACTCCACTCGAACAAACTGCATTGCTCCTGTTTCTTAAGGATTTTCTATTATTGGTGATCTAAAGTAGCCGAAAGTAGAAAACAATCATTCAGTCAGTCCTGAAGGAAAATACTGCCTTTTAAGGCAGACTGATCTCTGCCATTTAACAAGGTGAGAAAAAACGACTTGGCTTATTTTTATTCTTTTTATTAAAATCTGAAGGCAGAGAAGGACAAATGGAACATTGTAAAGAATGACTTTCATACAGATTTTAAACAAAGAAAACAGTTATTCTGCTTGTAGAAAATGAACGGTTGTTGTTCAGAAGTAGTGTAGCTTAATGTGGCTAACTGACCGAGCTAAAATAGGCTAACCTGTTAGCTACTGATCACAGCTAGCCACAGCGCTAACAGTTACTTTGTACCAGAAACAGATTTTTTTTTCAGTTTTGTTATCGATCAGGTAAAACTTCATGGGTCATCAGATTCACTAACGCTACAGATGCTCCTGACTCGGCGTACGGATGCTGCGTGATTTTTATTATCGTCGTCTGGGCAACCACTATCATGTGGCGACGTTCAGCCAATCATATAGCGCAACGTTACTGGCAGGAAGCAGGACCCGAGCTGATCTGGTAGCTACACAGAACCTTCAGACCTCTGAAGAGTTTGGTTGGGGATAATTTTTTTTTGACCCAGGATGAGTTCGATGATCGGAGGAATAATCGTCTCTTTGAGTTTCTGCATGAAGCCGATCAGGCGGAGCGGAAAACGACCCACTAATGGTTTGGTTTGTGTTTGACCTCCTCAGCGGAGATCCTGCTCTCTTCCTCACATCAGAGCTGAGCTGAAGTGAAGGATTGTGGGAGCTGTTGATGTTTTCACTGTGAGCTCATATAAGATGTTGGAGCGCCCCCCTCTGACCTGTCCCTCTCTCTGCAGGAACTGCGGAAACGTGTTCTGTGCCAGCTGTTGCGACCAAAAGATCCCAGTGCCAAGTCAGCAGCTGTTTGAGCCCAGCCGGGTCTGTAAGAACTGCTACAGCAGCCTCCAGCTCGGCTCCGCCCCTCTGGACCATGAGCTGGAGAAACGCATCACGGCGAGCTCCAACTGACGGATGAACGCCGAGGAGCCGGCGGAGGGGAGCTACGCAGAACGTCCCATGAACTGTGGGGGGAGGGGAGTGTAAATATTTAGACTAACGTGCGGGCAAAGCAGAGAGAACTCTGAATGTTTGGGTCTGGGTGTGTGAGCAGGGATGGAGCTGCTCTGTAAGGAGCGAGAACGGACCTGCTGATGCCGAGAGAAGCAGTCCTGACCGGTTTAATCCACCGCAGTGTCTCTCCTCCAACCTGAGGAGAGGCGTCGCATCTTAGATTGATCTAGATGAGAGGGAGACACCGTTTTTCCCTCTGAACCGTGGGACAATCAGAAGGCCAGAGCAAGGGCCTCACCTGTCAGGGTTCTGGTTCTGTTGGACATTTGGTGCCGCCTAAGCAGTTCCCTCGCTCTAAGTAGATGTGAGAGTTTAGGCCCATAGCAGACCTACCGCTTCCTAAAGAGCTAGAACCAGTTTTTGTTTTTTTTACCGGTTCTGATTGCATCCACACGTCTCCTAAAATCTGAGCCGGTGTTCTGTCAGATGGGCAAACCCACAGTCAGTACCCATCTATCCCCTTAGTTTATCTCTTTAGTTTATCTCTTTAGTTTATCT